GCACGCGGAGTATAGCAACCCGCGAGCGAGCAGAAGCGAGGCGAAAAGTTTTGCACCCAGCCGAGGAGAAAGCGCGAATCCAAGAACTTTCGGGGGCTCTTTTTGTCCGAATGTGTAGTTTCCACATTCACATGCATAGACTACGTATATGTATGTGTATAGTCTTATACATGTGACGTGAGATATAATAAAAAAATTGATAAAATTGCGTTTGCAGTCAACTGTTAGTTTATTGAGTAATTATTAATTTAGTTTATTAAAAGGGTCACACACAAATATAAAATAAAGGTGACGCAAGACGTTTACCTCCATCAATGATAAGAGTCTCAAACAGAGCTAATGTTGCGCGACGTAACACTTTAACGATACTTATATTGAGCAAGTCTCGTTGTCAAAAATCAAACACGTTTTGTTTTCTTCAATACGTTTGACATAATCTTCTGTATACTTAAACGTTAAACGATCAATATTGTTATCATATCTCGCGCTACGCGTTAATATCGATCGTATATAGGGGACGTCTTACGCTCTATCGCGAATTCGCCCTTGGAATCTCATAAACTAGAATAAAACCTCTGGTTGAGGTGATATCCTTCACAATAAATTTCTTGACAATAATGGGATTTATAAAATGCTTATCAACATAGTAATATTAAATTATAAGCATAGTAATATTAAAGTTTTTATTACTATCGATCTAGATTGAGGTAGCATTTCAGTTTTCGCAAGTTATTTATTATTATCGATTTAATTGAGGTAGCATTTCAGTTTTTGACGGAGCAATAACGTCCCCTATAATTCGACCAAGATAAAATCCATATTTATAATTTTATAAATATGCCATTTAGCTATATGTTTTAATATGTATATGATTTATATGTATGTTATTTCTGATTCTTCAAATATTCTTCGCGTTACACGGTACGTACGATTAAAACTAGGAAAAATATTCTATCTATCTAAAGTCTGACATGAATCCATACATCATTTAAAATGAGTTTAAGATTGGTAACCGATGCATAATTCAAAATACAGCAATAATGTTTACAACTCATGAATTAATATTAAGCCGATGATATGGTCGATGATAAAAGGTGCCCTATTTACTTATTCGACGTTGCATCTACATGCATATCGATCATCATTTATTTCTCCACGCACCCAGCACCTGCGGTATACTTTCGGACGGCAAAACCACCCGAGACGAATGAAATTCGAGTGCGAGCGAGAGAGGCGAGAGATTTACGCGCCGATTTATTATAGGCGATTAATCCTGGCGACTGGTCCGCGAGTTAGCTTCTTGACCTTACGGTAGCCCCGTCTCTACACATGCGTAACGTCTCAATTACGCTTTTTGTCATTATGAAATAGCATATTTTCCGCGGGCAAAGGACTTTCTATAACTAAGAAGTGTTACGCCACGCGAACGCTCTCCTCAACCTTCCAGAAAGATATAATTAATCCGGAAGAATACACTGCAGGAAAATCACGGCGATCTTCACCGAAGAGAAAACTATAGGTACCGAATTCATAAAGGAAGTGATATTAGAGAAGATAGAAAAGATAAAATTCTAATTTATAAAAGTTTAAAGAAATAATTTGTAAATATATAAGTTCATAAAGACAAATTTCATGAAAAATTGATATATAAAAAGAATATTTTCCAGAATTATATATTACACCTATTATATTATATTACACAATAAATTATATTATTTTTTAAATTTATTATCTATAGATGGTTTTAATTGTGAAAAAAAATATTTTATTACGTAATATAATATAATAAAATATTATAATAAAATAATGCATACACGAAAATACGTGCAAAAATATATAAAAAAACATGCGGTACATGCTGTGTAATATTTTGAACGATTCTCTTAACGAATAATTGATAAACAAATGTCGACAAAGGAATCACACGATAAATGTTCTCATTTCCTTGTCAACAACTGCGAGTGTTCTAGTTTTCCTTTCTACGCGTAAAAAAATATACGGTTACCCCAGTTTCGTAGAAAAACAGGATTCTATCTTTCGCACGCATCGACGGTTCAACATTTATACGATATGCGGTGCCGATGGTCCGCCTTTTCTCTCTCTTCGACTGGTACTTTCTACATCTATTTATACCTTTTTCTCTTTCTCTCCTTTTCCGGTCTCGAAATGCGAGCGGCAGCCAACGCTAAGGTTTCGCGCAAAGTGTGAGAAACGTAATAAAAGGCGCGCCGAGGAGCCGCGAGTTCCGCGCGATCGCGTCGGAGTCGGATGGACAAAAACACCGTCGCGCCGCGCCGCGCCGAGGAGAAAGACGCGATTGCGCGTCATTAGGCGGCAGGCGCAATGAGCGCGCGCGAGACGCACGTTAATCCGGGTCGTCCGTTTCGAGAGTGCGCGCCCGCACTTTTATCTGTCCCAACCCAGGCCTACGCGTGACGTTCGCGCCACGAGTTGAACTGCAAAGCGCGCGGCGGTGTTTCGCAGGCAATTTCAAACCGGAGTCGCGACGCACAATCGTAGCGCACGGGTGCGCGCATGCACGGTTGTCGGTCCACAAGCCGAAACCGCATTTCCATGAATAATAAATGTAATGGGAAAAAAATAAGAATATACATATATGTGTATACGCATATTTCCTTCATATGTATAGGTATGCATTTGTTTTTCTCACTTACCGAAAAAGTCCTCCCAGCTAACCGAGCCGTCGGAGTCGACGGCGTTGACGCTCGCAGCTTCCGCGTCCGCCTCGCTGCAGTCCATCGCGTGAATCGCGTCCGTCCCACGTCCCACGTCGATCGTCAACAACAACACGTTACCGCGTTGCTACTCGCGCGACGCGCCACGATCATCGCGCGTCACATCGCGACGGGCCGTGCCGAGCGAGGCGGACGCGCGCCCACGAGCGCGCGCCGATCACGACTGACATGTCTTTCGGCGCCGAAAGTATATCCGCCGATCGGGGGAGGAGGGTGAACGATCGAGACGGGGCCGACGAACGAGAGGCGTACGTACGCGCGCACGCCGGACGGAACGCGACACGCGACTGACACACCACACACCACACCACCGACTGACGCGGCCGGCCGCCGGCGCGGCCAAAACTCGCCGAGGAGGGTGAGCGATCGCGGAGCAAAGCCGACGGGTCGGAGCAGGCACCGTGCGCGCTGCGCTGTACACATCGCACACGACGCGGTCGCAGGATGAAACGCGACTGACACCAACACCAACGATTGGCGCGCGGCGCGGTGCGGCCGCCGCGCCGAAAATCACCGAGGGTGAACGATCCCGCGGACCAACGGGAGGTTCCTGAGAATTCTGCGAAATGTACAATCCCCCGAGTCGAATACCCCGCGTTTCTATAGAAATGCAAATTTATTTGTATTGTACCGTATACGTGTACTGTAAAAGACAAGAGAGACCGAATGTCGAATCTTGTTGAGAATGTTATTGTATACTGAAAATAAGATATATATACGCCTATCTTTATAAAAACGTACAATGCTAGAGTATCATAAAATAAATGCTAATATGTAACTAATATTTTCTTAATTTCGATGTATTCGTAGTTTTTAGGTAATTACAATCAGAATTACTGTTGTTAAATTACTGTATGAATGTTATTGATATAAGATTTGTCATAGTAATAGTAATATCAGTGCATGTAATATAAAATATATCTGATTATATAATTAATATTGATATTACTGTTTATGTACGTCATATGCCAACTTTTATACATATAACTTTTTTGAATTGATATTTATATATATCCAATCGACTTTTTCAATTACTACACAAAATCAGAAAATACGAGCAATATAACTGACATTTGTTGGACGATTTTTTTATCTATATATCCGCGCTTAAAGTTAATTCGAAGTGACATCATTTTGGCCCCCGACGGCCAATACGACCCGCTGGAATCTTTCTCGGGAACTGTCGAAAGAGCGGTATTTCGGAAGATATATCCGAGGTGTTTCGATGAGAAAGTGGAACCGTGTGAGATGCGGCATCGCGTGGAATATATTAACGAGCGGCGCAACGTCTCTCTCGAAATAAAAGATCTCCCGAATATATATATATATATATATATTGCTCAACCAGGCGCCGTGAAAGTCGCTGCTACACATTCTTATGACCTTCCTCCCCCCCGCTTCCCCGGCCCTTTACCCCCCGCGCCGGCCAGCGTTTATTTTTTCGAGGAGCGTGGAATATACACGCACCTATACGCGCGCATATATTAGGGGTCCGCTACGCGCCGCACGATACATCCACGGAATCGCCGGCGTTCTATTATTAGACGGCCGGCGCTCGCCGTTGCATCCCGCGACGGCAGGATGAATGGAGAATGAATGCTCTCTGAACGCGTTTAGGATGTCTCGCCCCTCCGGCGCGAACAAAAATTATCTTGCTTTCCGAAAAATCGAAAGCGAAACGACGAGCATTCGAGCACGTGTCTCTGATATTTATCGGAGATCAGCCTTTCGAAGATAAATCGATCGCAGCGTTCGAGAATGAATCTCTTTGCTATTGTTATTGTTAATTCTGACACCGAGCGGAAATAATTGCAAAATTCCGAACTCCATTTCGGGTCATCTCCTAACGTTCGGATTATTTCGAATTGATATAATTTCCAGATCGATTTTCTTGGCTCACTCTATTTGTTAATACATTTTTAACATTGCGAAGCTAATCGCATGTCGATTTAATTTAATACAATTTAGAAACTCAACTTTTGTTGATTATTTCACAATTTCTTTTATATATTTGTAATATTTTGTATGATTTCTTTTTTTTTCGAGAACGAGTAATGAAAAAGGGAAATGGCGAAATTTAATTAATAACAGTTAATTAATTATCCACATGCGATCATTTTGCAGTAATAATTAACACACGTATTAATTTAATAATTTATATAGTAAATATAAAAAATTTCTATTTATATAATAAATATTTATAATTCTGCAGGCAATAATACGGAGGAAAGAAATCATTCCATCTATTGATCATACATATATATTCGTTTTATATTTCGCATCGTAATAAACAACGTACATATACAAGATCGCTATATAAGAAAAATGCCGATGCGAGTATATATAATCTAATACAGTTTTTTCTTTACATACACTTTTTCTTCTGTGATTATCTAGTAGTTACATCTCCGATCGTAGTTACACATCTCTCTCGCTTAAACTTAAATTATCGCGCCTTACGAAACAATAGGTGTTTCTCTAACAATACTTAGGAGAATTAATGCGCCCTTGTGACTTTATTTGTTACCACTATAAAGTTCGTTTTATTGCCAGATATCAACTTATACAAAGTAATAATATATTTGGCCGTATAAAATATTGAATGGATAAGACTCTCTGCAAAGAGAATTCGCCATTATCCTTCCAAATCTATCTCGCGCGCGGAATTTAATTAAACAGACAGTTTCTTGGATACTTTCCAGGATATCAAGTACCTACCATTTCTGCACTGAAACAAAATGATAAAAAAATTTCGCAAGTAAAAATAAAATATAAATACGAATGATGCGCGATCAATGACAGTTAGTCTCGAGCAGTGACGATGTTCTAGTGGCACACAGGTACATATATAAATGTATACATTAACTTAAGATGATAGAAATAAATTATCACAAATGTATTGTAAAAAAGTTTTAACATAATCAGTAAGTGAATCACGATAACCGAAGCGTTAACAATGATTAAACGTCAATTAATAAATGTTTCCTAAACTTAGAGATTAGAGATACCTACCTAACACTATCGAAGATGAAAAGTCACAGCATAGTGTGAAAGTAAATTTGACTAAATCGCGTACTTCCGATATATAAGCTCAAAAAGTTATGCGATCGATTTATCAAATCTCTCACTCGTATAGCATATAAAAGAACGTGGTTATTTCGGTCATATGTTTTACTACTGTTCTTCTCTCTGTGGTGAATCTTATTATCCTCCTTCAAACATCAGAACCACTTTTACGTGTCATGATTTAAGTGTCATAAATTTAATGTATATTTAATGTATATTACATTACGATTACCATTGAAATTAATATACCTTTGAAATACGTTATTGTAAAAATTAGCGAACGAATTAGTTTCATGAAGAAATGCCGTATTTACAGGGTCGATGTTAACAAAGGAAAGCGCACAACGTGCGTAATGCGCAAAGAATCTGTGCTATCCTCTTCCTATACTGCTCAATCTTGTATGAAACGTTGATCAAGTCACATATGTAAACACATAGATAATTCCTTAATATTTTACAATCATCCTTTAGCAGTTAAATAGGGAAAGACACAGTACTTATGGAAAACAAGATTTTTATAAAGAAACAGATTCACGTTACCTCTTTCCTTTGATATTTCTTTATGATCTACTATATATTGCACAAGAATATGCTTAAAACAAGATTTTGTGATGTATTATCCGTAATTATCCATCATAATTCTTTTTATATAATTATCTTTGCTATTTTGCGTAAGTTTATTTTTGTATCTGAATATCTGTTCAAAAAACAAGAGATGAGAATGTGAAAAGTTTTACAATTGCCTGCTATGTTAAATCAATCATTGTATATTACTGTCCAATTAGATTATAAATATGTAACTAAAATATTGATTAATCTGATTAATTTTAATGTAATATCACACCTATAACACTGCGCAATATTAACGTTAAATAAATTCAACCTAATAACTAAATTGCAAAATTTACTTGTACAATCGTAAATCAATAGACATTGCATAGACACCTCCAAAAATATTACGACATCCACACAATCAACGTTTCTATATCAACATATTAATTCTATCGAATCTCTGCAGTTTCATAGTAGGAAGTCACTTAGTATTATTCATTAATATTACCGCTATTTTGTTCACTATATAACTATTTAAAAGTTCTATCCTGTGTATCGGATAACGTTATCAAAGAGCAAATTATATAATGATGAAGCAGTCTTAAACAAATTGGCGCGATGTATATCTATAAAACATCGTCAATGGATGAGATTTTGTGAAATAATACTTAATTTCATATTTCCTATTAAAGTGAATGCCGATGGTATCATTGTCAGAAGTCTTTATAATACTAATAGGACCCAGTTTCCTTTTAAGATGAGCCTTTCCTTCTTTTATGAGTAACCTTGGTCGGATCGTCCTTAATCTCTTGTTCCTGAGCTTCAAATCCTACATAATGTATAAATATATATTAGATATACGTTATATTATTCCTAAATCAAGAAGTATACATATAATGGCTCAGCACTACCGCATAAATTTCTAATAACAAACTTTTCTAACAAATTTACAGAAATAATTTTTTTCTAACAAAAAGTGTCAGTGGTATTTCTCAAACTTGGTTTAATGTTATAATTTATATGACTGTAAAATGGTTTCTTACAAATTAATCCTTCTGACAGTATCAAAAACTGGCCACTCAATTCGCTACTACATCAATAACGTATTAAAGTTGTCTTAATAAATGCTTGGTTCGTAATAAATTATTGCCTGATGAAATCTGATATTAATTAAAAATGTAGTAGTAGCAGATCATACTATATGTTTCAATGTTTACATATCTATATGTATATGAAATACAATCTTACGTTTTCTCTTTGCCATACGTGAACGTGTCACTCGCGAACTATTTTGGGAGTTGGGTACCGTCTCGATCTTTTTTCTTAAACGCGCAACTTCTTCCATTGCGGGTGTCATCCATTTTGGTTTAAGTTCATTACTGGAGATTCGAAAAACCAGACCATTAAAACAACGCTAGTAAAGATATATGTAATGTAAAAAAAATATATATATGAGCTGCAAAACTGGATACTTACTCTGACGATTTTGGTGGAGCTTTATGCCTAAGTGAACCTGATTGCCTCTCCTTCATTTTACGAAGTACTTCTAGCATTGCGTACGTCGGCAGAGACGGTGGCCGCGGAGACTCGGGCAATGGTGGTGTAAGAGGCGGTGTGAGAGGCGAAGGTGGCAGTTGAGTACTGATTTTCGCAAGTTTGTCTGGATGCAGCGCTAACACCGCTTCCCAACTAAACTCTCTTTTCTGAACTGGTGGCTTAGGCTGCGTATTTCGCGTTATTCGTATCTAGAGCAAATAATATCAAAGTAATAATCAGTTGTGCGTGTATGTATGAGCTTACGAATTAGCAGATACTTTAAATTCAAGTAAATTTTTACCTCGCCATTTACAGGCCTGCAAGGTTTCCTCTCTCTCAAATATGGTCGCTCGAAAAATATAGAGCTTGTAAGATTTTCATTTGACTCTTTCATATTATACAGACATGTAGGAATATTGCCATCTTGGCTACTGTGTAGAAATAAATTCCGTAAATAGGAATAGTTGGGCTTGGTCTCAAATTCTAGCTCAGTAATGTACTTCATATACTTCATGATTGCAGCTATAAAAAAATAAATATTATATAAAATAATATATAACGTACTAGAACAAATCTTTTTATTGGTTACTTATACATAATATTTTTACTAACCTGGTGGTTTTTTCTTGTGAGGAAAGCACTTGTCCATAAATAGAGGCAAGTCTGATAAGAGAATCTCTTTTTGTTGATGAACTTCTTCGGGATCCATAACAAAATCGATTTCATCACTATCTTTCTCCCAAGGTAGTTTTCCACACATCCACTGTAGAATATTATATCCTAAAGTCTCTAAATCTCCTCTCCTTGAATGGGCTGAAAAATATTTTATCTAATGAAAGCGTGAAGTAATTTAATTTCATTTAGCGAATAGGAGAAAGCTTAGTTTGTCAAATACCGTTACGCATTAAATTGCTCTTTATTTAATAAATTTAATAATCCTTTGCTAATATTAAACAGCTTGATTATTATTCTCATCAACTTTTCTTGAGGAAGAAAATTATATATTTTTGATAATCTTGATACACAAAACAATTACAAGTATACAAGAATATGTTTCTTTATGTTACTGAAATGATCGACATACTTCCATGATGAGCGTCCCGCGATGTAAATTCTAAAGTGCCCTCGTGAGCTCTTCTTTCATCATGTACAAATGGTTTATGTTCACCGGTTCCTGTGCGGAAACGATATGCCAGTCCGTAGTCTACTAAGTACGCCATAGATTTTTCCTTTCCTATTCCATTACCATCCGACAACAAGATATTTGGTCCCTTAATATCCGCATGAGCATATCCCTTACTGTGAATATATTCCAACGTATCCAACTATTAAAAAAAAGAGAGAGGTATTACAGTTTTTGAGTAACCATAAACTCAATTTAATCGGCTATTAATTACAAAACTCGCAATTCCAAGAGTGAAACTCACCATTTGTACAGCTAATGTATTAACCAGTCTCGTTGGTAATTTCTTCCTATGGGATAGGAATAGTTTTCCGATATCTACTCCGTATCGCGGAATCACTAGAAACCTGTATCGTTGACCTCGATAAACGTGAGAGCCTGATCCTTCATATGTGGGAACACCGATTCTTCTCTTTCCCTGAGACTCACACCAACTTTTGACTGTAAAATATACCAGAATATCAAAGGTACAATCATTCCATATGTATATGTATATACATAAAGATTTAGAGATATATATATCTCTAAATTATAAATGTAACTTAATATAAATTTTGTTACATGCATGTTACTTACTCATGTGCTTGCGAGCTGCTCTTATATAAAAATTCATTTCAACAAATAATGGCCCATTATTATGAGGTTCGATCTTTACGACAAATTTTGCATCTTGACCAACAGGTGATGTGACGTCATTAGAGGCTGTGGAAGCAAAAGCAATGTTATAATTTATACATAGTTCTACATATATGGAATACAAGATACAGTTATAACAAAGTTATGAGTAAAAACAGATTATAAATGTAAAAATATTTACCGAGGTAAATGTCTCCAAAACCACCATATCCAATGGTATTTCCCAGCCTCCATTTATTCTGTGTAATGTCCGTTAAGATTTCTCCCGCTGGCAGTTGCGCTGGCAACTTACAACCTGCAGCTGCCACTCTCTTCATAGGCACCTCTTCTGCTCGTCTTGGTGGCATCCTATCGCTATTAAAAATCATTCATATATATAATTTATTAAATTCACTATTGACTTGACAAAAGTAATGCGACTCGTCACATCTCACACAGAGAGAATCATTCGACATTTGTTCTTGCTATCAAAATTGTATCGTGAGAAGTAAAACATATTTGACACAAATGTGATAGCAATAAATTATATAAAACAAATCTCGCAACCTTATACAAAGAAGAAACACACACACGTCAAGGATATTAATAATCTTACACTTTATTTTTTCATTTATTTCTTAAAAAATGCCGCCTGTGTATACATTTTTTGAGATGCTTTAGCTAATATTAATTATGTAGAAATATTTTATTGTTAAAATAATACATACAATATATGTATATATCGTGTATATTAGTTTCATAGTTGCGTAGACAAATTTTTACAATATTAAGAACGTCTACATATACATTTGTAATTAAGAATAAAAAGCAGACGTTTAGTACATAATATTAAAGAACATAAAGTCGTATATATTTCTCTCGATTAAGACAGATATATGCTAAATTATACTCTTTAATAGATATATGAAGTATATATATATATATATATATATATATATTTATTTTATTACTCTTCGCATTTATACCAATGATTTAATCCTTTCTCGACGATCCAATCAAATAAAATGCACCATGTGGCACAACAAAACACTGCTCTCTTTTAAGAATACTGTTTATTACTATACGTAGAGTTGAAACTCTATTGCAGGATATAAATTAAAATATCGATATGTACATAGGAATTGTTGCAAATCGACAAGAAGACTATACTGAATAATTCTTTAATGATTACGGCATATCACAAATAGCAAATTTAATCACCTGCACTACTTTGCACACTAAAAGCTATTATACATGAAGTGATTAAAATTACCAAGAACATGACGTAAATGTATCTTGATTCGTAAAATATCCAATGTTTATATCGTTACATTCTTAACGAGATATATATCAGATGTTTTATCGGTCAAAGTCTCAATATTATGTTTCTGTGCTTAACTATCTTTATGTATAACGCACTTTAGAACCAATGTGAAATAGTGCAAGCAACCGAATTAGCGACAGACGAAAATTATGACTTTTAAGGGCGTACTTGCGACAATTTTTGGCAACACGTTGATTTACATGATGCAACGTTAAACGACGGTAAATCATCATAATGATCCTACGACACTTTTATATACAATTCACGGGTACGGGGAAACGAATAAAATCCCTCGCAAACGTGTCGATTAATTAATTACGTAAAATAAGCCAGAAGACTCTAATAATAATAACGGATCTTCGTGCACACATGAGAGCGTTCATTACAAATACATTTTGATATCGCCGATAATAGGAGCATCGCTGACAACATCGAATTTAAATATATATGAAAACCAAACGCATCAACATGCCTTTCTACATAACAGCGGTATACTTACATGGACGTACGTACTTTTCTAATAATCTTTTTTTCTCTACTTTTTTTTGTATCGGCCTATTAGTTTAACATGAGGAACTCGTGTCGCGCATCTGAACGGCGAGCACTCGCGGAAAGAACGTTCTTGTACGAGAGAGAGAGAGTTCGCAGTCTATTAGGACTGTTACTAGTTATTAGGAGTCACTGGACGCCAGGCGCATACCATGAGGTTATAGTCGTTAAACACAACGGGGATCGCGAGCGGAACTAGCGGAAGCCCGGCCGCCGGCGCATACGTGTGCGTACTGCGGCGTCGACTGCGTCCTGCGTCGTCGTTCGAGGCTTTGAGGTATCGCGCACGACGATCAGCCGGTGCCTCTCCTCGAAGACGCGCGGGTGCGTACGAGGAAGAGTACTCGCAACGCACGACGCACGAAGGAAGGTATAGGCTTAACGAGCAGGACGCGGACCGTCTCGATCGCGCGTCAAGAACCCGCGACGTCTGACGCGCGGTTTCCCGGGTTGCCGCGTACGTTCGAGGGATGCGCGAGGGCGATGTCTCGTCGACCAGCCGACGGTGCCGAGCGGGAAGCGCATTCGAAGCCGAACGCGCCTGCCAATGTTCGTCGCGACAGCGACAGGACAGCCGCCGCCGCCGCCGCTCTCGGCCGACGGACGTGTCTCTCCGCCTCGGGTACTCGCGCGCTTCTCCGCAGTCCGCACCGAGACGCGACGAATCACATCGCACCCCCTCGTAAACACCGCTTCCTCTCGCGGGTGCGCCGATCAGCTGGAACCCGTCTCCGATGACACTCCTCGCGTAGGAGTAGCGCGGATCGCGCGACAAGCGGACAGCTCTCGGCTTTCGGCCAGCCGAGCCGACCTCGGGCTTTTTTTTTTCGAATATGACAGAACGCAACGGACAGCGATTGGCCAATGAGGAATTCGCAACCGCGCGGTCCGCGCGCGATCCACAGCCGACGACGTCCGGCGTCCAATAGGAAGGCGGGTCTCCTAGGAACGGCGATGTCCCCCGGCTCGAGTCCCTAGGCAATGCGTTCGCTCATTGGACGCCGGACGAAGTGCTACGTTGCACGCGTGTGAACTTCGCGTCAAACCGGCACCCACAACCGGCAGCAGCGAGGAAATTAAATAGTAAATCTGAAGGAGAGCTCTCTCCTCACCGATTTCGCTGAATTTAGGCTTAATCAACGCGTTTTTGCACAAAACGTACGAATCTGGCAGAAAAAAGCCCCGCTCTGCCCCGCGAAGCGAGATAACTGTTAAAGTTGACGACTATCAGGTTATGAGACCTGTCATATTACGATTACGGCAGTTATTTAAGGAGAGACAAGTTGTGGATATGCATGGAGTATTGCGGAGGTGGATCGTTGCAGGATATATATCATAGTATGTGAAATATTTATTACCCAATGTTTACATAATGTCAGAAAAAGAACAAGGCCTCGATTTTGATGGTTGAATATTTGAGTAATATTTGAGAAGAGGAATTGCAGATTTATGATAATTTATAAATGTTAAAATTAATATTTATATATATATACATATAAAAAATATATAGATAATGTATATAATGTAATTGTATATAATATATGTATACAAATACAAAATATATAACATGTAGTCTTTAAATTATTTAAATTTGACTTTAAAGTAGTAATATTGAGTTTTAATGTGTTTCTAGTTACTGGACCATTATCGGAAATACAAATAGCATATATGTGCCGGGAGACCCTCACTGGTTTAGCTTACTTACATAGCATGGGCAAGATGCATCGTGATATTAAGGGTGCCAATATACTGTTGACTGAAGCGGGTGATGTGAAATTGGCAGACTTTGGCGTGTCGGCGCAGATTACCGCGACGATTAACAAGAGAAAGAGTTTTATCGGTACACCTTACTGGATGGCTCCTGAGGTATATATTCATGCTTATCAATAATACTTGAGAATCACGTTTTACAATTACATTGAGGACCAGCATAGCTGATATTTTTACAATCTACAGGTAGCAGTCGTGGAAAGGAAAGGAGGTTACAATCAATTGTGTGATATTTGGGCATGTGGGATAACCGCGATTGAATTAGCAGAGTTACAGCCGCCAATGTTCGATCTGCATCCGATGCGCGCTCTGTTTCTCATGTCCAAGTCCGGCTTTAAGCCACCGACATTGAAGGATCGTGACAAATGGAGTCCAACGTTCCATAACTTCGTCAAAATTGCCCTTACGAAAAATCCGAAAAAAAGGCCGACAGCAGAGAAATTGCTTCAGGTTATTTTATTATTTTATTATTCTTATTTTATTAGTGATAGGTACGATTTATACAAAAAATTTTTATAAAATTACATCAATGTGGTAATCTATGAGAGGTATCTATTTCGAATTATAGCATGCGTTTTTCCAAGGGGAGATGAGCAAGAGACTGGCTTTAGAATTATTGCAAAAAGTGTCGAATCCCAGCCATATGTTTACGGATTTGGAGGCCGACGAAGACGGAGCAGTGCCCAATGTTCCGCAAAGAATAGCTTCACGTCACACCGCAAGGCCTAGGCCGAAAAGTCCTATATCGCAACTGGATAGTGACGGTAAGATTAATAATAATTAAATAATTAATGATAGATAATCTCAAAGTATGATATAATCGTGATTATGATTTACCTGCAGATCAAATCAACATCGATGGAGGGACATTACACAGAGACTCCATATCACCATCTGTGGACGCTAATCCAGCGTGGGACATTATGGATATCATGAATAACGTCAAGGTAAATCTATTGCAGACGCTTATCCTGTTTATGTGTTATTCACTGAGTATATTTTTCATAAAAAAAAGTAATTGCAATATTGTATAAATATTTTTCCAATATTATAATAATTATAGTAATTAATGAAAAGGCGATTTATATCAGTGAAGTTGAATGTCTAATTTACGTACGTACATATAGGCCGTGCACAATTGTGATGTGCATCCAGACTGTGGGATTGGATCTGCGTTTGAAGACGTCCAGGAAAAGTAAGTTGTTTTGTATTTCATTCCATCAATTTTTTTATCGCACATATATGCGGAAAACATCGAAAAATATCGAAGTTTTTCTATTACTTTCACTAATATGGTAGTTGCTGTTTTGTTCGAAATTGTAAATATATTTTTTAACAATTAAATTTTACAAATTTACTTTTAGATCGATTTTAAACGATAAACTATCTAAGAAGATAAACTTAGCGATGTAACGAATTTAATTGGTAGATTTACACGCGCATGACGGGAAGTTATCATCATCACACACATGTGTAAATACCAAACCACAATAACATACGAAGTACACAACCTTGAGACAGGCAGTAACGAACTTTCAGGCATGTAGGTAACAACGATCTTTCTGTCTCCGCAATTCGAGCGAAAATATGTAAATACCAAACCATAATAACATACGAAGTAGACAACCTTCGAGACAGGCAGTAACGAACTCTCAGGCATGTAGGTAACAACGATCTTTCTGTCTCCGCAATTCGAGCGAAAATATGTAACGTGATAGACGCGCTTTGAATTAAATCATGTGTAACTTAATAAAGAGTAATTAGATATTTATAATTCATCGGAAGGCGATCGTATTCAGCGTACAGTGATTAATAAACAAATATATTTTACGGCGAGACGCAAGCACAAGCAATCGCGGAAGAAGACCTAGTTCCAGAAAGTGCAGGAGTCCTTCGGAAGATGAGAAGAAAGAAAGGAGCGATTCGTTCCCCGCAAAAAGTATACAAACTTTATTTGTAATACGTAATATATGAGTATTATTAAGTATTAAAATTAAACCACCTGGCGTTGCCGGGATTATCACAAAGTATCAAGGGGATAAAATCAGAGATAGGAGATCCAGGTTTCATGGTAGACCATATTTTCCGCAGGGGTCTAGAGAGTAACTATATGCAAAATTTCATAGATTGGTCAAAGGGTTTAGGAGTTAATAGGCAGAGACACATTCTGTTTTATATACATCGATTTTTTACTCACGACGTCGTAAATCAATATGACATGCATTGAGGAAAGATATAGAAACCTTAAATGCGGAATTTTATTTGATTTAAATTGTATTTTTGCTTCTCCGGTTCTTAATTGATTCTGAATTGTCGCGTGTCGGAGAGGTGGACTTTTACGCAAATAAATGTCCTCATTATAATTCGAAATCCCTTTCTCTGTGTTTTTCAATTAATCAACTCGTAATCCCCAGGCGCCGCAAAACGTCGCAACGCCTCGAGACTCTCGCAGCCATGTATCTCGACCTCGACGAAGAAACATTTTCTGCACGATAATCACGTGGGTGACCGCTATCTGCATGTGGCCGATAAGGAAATTGCTGCATCTCGTAAATGTCGTAAATGTAAGTTTCTCGATATTTGTGCAAAATGAAGATTCTCGCTTCCTCGCTGCCAGCCATATTGAATTACTGTATTAAATTAGCCGAATTTTTTTACTTTCAACAAGTTGGAATCACGAACAAATTTTGTTATTTTTAGAAATAATTTTAATTTATACACGTTGATAAGTATTGTCCTCGATCTCACGAGATTTTTAATTTCCGACTTGCTGAATGCAAATCACACGAGAATATGTACATCTCAGAATTTTTGGTGATTAAAAATAACTAATGTCCATTTAGGTTTTAATTTCGTTTCCGTCTTTGTGGAAATAAGAAATTAATATGCAGGCGCGCATATGTAAATTGCAAATTTTTAAAAATATTTTAATATAACACTTGACGAGCATGAAAAATAATAAATTGTTCCGTTCCATACATTTCAGGAAAACAGACGAAATACTGTACCAAGCCCAAGAGGTCCAGTCGTGTCCTTGGAAATGTTGCGCAACGTAAAGCTGAAATCCGCGAAGCGTAGGCCTAAACCTGGAAGATCGCCCAGAAGCGTTTGGAGTCGACTTGCGGCGAATGTCAGTCTTTCGCCGATCTTGCCCGAATCGCCCGAGTCACTCGGATGATCCCTCGCGTCGAGATTTATTTCTTCGTTTTCTTTTTTTTTTTTCCTCTCTTTAGCCTACCTTATTACGTTCTTACAATTACATTTCGCAAATATACTTACTTACTTTACGAGAGCCGGTTGATATTATTTTGAATTATTTCTCATAACGTGTGTCATTTGTAACATGATTTTTATCGTTACAATACCTAAATACAGGGGCACGATGGACACCAATTACTTCCTCGCGGAGGTTGCGATCCGCGTTTTTCTCGCCGAATTATGCAATTCTTGTTGTTGTCGAACGCCTCGCTTCTCTCTGCTGCGTTAAAACTCTCGGCGTCTCCTCTCCGTCACGTTATCAGCGAGAAAAACGATCGGAATATTGCAAAAACGAAAATTAAAAATTAGACCAATACCAGAAATGTGTCTCGGCAGTTTATGTTATAGGATGACAGATGATTTCGATTTTATTTAACGTTACGTCCGCGGCGCGCGAGAAATATTCGGCAAATAAAATGGCACAATTGTCGCAATGATATACAACGATGGTTGCGAACCGCGGAATAACAGCTTCGGCCGTGAATCAATTTTTGCGACAGAGGCATTACAATTTTTTCGGTAACACAGGCATTTCACTTGCAATCCTTAGGCTAATTTAGAGAGACGATTGTTTATCTGTAAAAATATGATGTTTCTCCTTTTACGTTTTTTCTTTAACTTTGTTCGCAAAAATACACTTTTTCCTTTGTTTAGTAGCTCTCAATTGAATTTGTAACGCTCCTCTGTCGCTGTAATAAATCATGAGATTCTGAAGTGCTAGGAAACGTAATCCAACGTGAAATTGTAGTCGAAACTAGATTCACCTGCTTATAAAAGATGTCTTTGCCAGATATTGCCATATACAAAACATTTTGTGTGTGTGTGTTTACTCTTTTCAACAGTTTTTAAATAAAGGTATTTTATCTCAACAAAGTCGCAATTAATTAATTATGTTGTAGTGTGTAGTTAATAAAAATTCGAACAACACTGCTACTAAGTATATTATTGTATTAAAAATTAATTTATTAATCAATCTTATATCATTCTTATGTATATATTACATTTAATTACAATTACGAATTTTTGAATTTTTGTTTAAAAATGTTTGTGAAATAAATAAAATATATATATATATATAAACGATGAAGCAATTAGGAACATAAAATTAATTTGAATTAACTTTAGCCGATGTTTATTACGTCTTACGATAATTAGCGCATAATTATTTGATAAAATTTAAGGATTTTAAAGGCTGTCTATATTGAATTTTATTCTAAATACATACATTTTCTCTATGCTCAGCTGCGAGAATTGATACTTTACATCGGACTGTTCAACGCGAAATGAACAGAAGGCCGCACTTGTAAAGGATTTGTAGAATTTATAGGATTGTAGAATTTGTAGGATTTATAGACTTTAGAGAATTGGAGGTATCTAATATATAAAGATAAATATATACATACACACCGAAATAGAAGATATATCTTGCCTTAAAATATAGATATATATATTATATATATAAAATTAATTCGCTATGACTTTAAATACATAAAAATGGAAATAAGAGTGTGCCACATTGACAGTGTCTAGCTCCTATTCGCTATATATATATAAAAATAAATGAATAATTATTTGGAATACGATAAAGGTGAAATTGCAATGTTGATGATAAAGAGCAAAAGCGCTCTTCGATTCACACGTAGCGAATAGAACCGCATCTGTGTCGAGAGCTGTCTCCTTTAAAAGCTGCGTTTTCGCCTTTGGTAAAATTAACCGATCAGTCACTGAAGGAGGGAGAGGAACTCGATGCAAGTGCAATTCTTCGCTACTCCGGAACAAAACAGCATTTTTGCTGAGCGATTGTACGTGTACAACATGCGCGCGTATCCTAAAGTCATTTATTTCATGATCTCCTTTGTGCCAGTCAATTTCGCGCTTACGTCCCACAAACGGAACGCTACCTCCGGGTCCAGATCCTTTTTAGAGACGTAGAGCTTGCAGTCGCGATACAAATGTCCGCTTTCCTCGGACAACGACGATTCTGTCGCACAATGCAATACCGTTTGCGCACCCTGTGAATATATCGATTTGCAGTAGCAAGTATTTCCCAGTGCTGAAAGATTTTTTTAAAGATTGATTGCGCGTGGCAATTCACGTATAATTTACCTGATTTGGAGTGCGCAGAAACATAAGAGCCACAGGCGAGAAAATGATATAGTGAAACCAGCTTCTTTTCACGTTCCTGAACAGACCGGTATAGGTAAATCCGGGACACACCATGTAAACATTGATACCGGTATTTTCCGTCCGTTTCGCAAGCTCGGCGGCAAAGTACGCGTTCGCGAGTTTCGAATTGCAATAGCCAGGGTTCATCCTGCTCTTCACCGGCAATCCTTTCTCGCCGTTCAAGTTTGAAAAGTCTATTACTCCAGATTCCAGAAGCTTGGACGTCACCACCACTATTCTGTACGATAAAGTTTTTAATTTAATATCAGTTTTGTGTCAAAATCTCAAGTGACAATCGTATAAATTACTAACCTGCTGGGAGCGCTTTCCTTCAGGCGATCCAGAAGCAAATGGGTGAGCAGAAAGTGGCCCAAGTGATTAACTCCAAAATGAATCTCGAACCCGTCTTTCGTCAACGCGTGATCTTTGAGAGGCGCGTATACCCCGGCGTTGTTGATCAGCACATGAATTTGAGGAAACTTCTTTAGCGCCTCATTGGCAAAATCTCTGATCGATGAGAAAGACGAAAGATCCAATTCCATGGGAATCTGCAGAAAGAGATAACCATATTGAATACACATCAAATATTGAAAAGTATAAGAGAGATAGAAACTCCGGACAGCACGCCAACATTTCTGCAACATTTTCTAGACATAT